GGATAAGGCCACCACTCGGATAAGGCCACCACTCGGATAAGGCCACCACTCGGATAAGGCCACCACTCGGATAAGGCCACCACTCGGATAAGGCCACCACTCGGATAAGGCCACCACTCGGATAAGGCCACCACTCGGATAAGGCCACCACTCGGATAAGGCCACCACTCGGATAAGGCCACCACTCGGATAAGGCCACCACTCGGATAAGGCCACCACTCGGATAAGGCCACCACTCGGATAAGGCCACCACTCGGATAAGGCCACCACTCGGATAAGGCCACCACTCGGATAAGGCCACCACTCGGATAAGGCGACCACTCGGATAAGGCCACCACTCGGATAAGGCGACCACTCGGATAAGGCGACCACTCGGATAAGGCCAACACCTAGCCCAAAGGACCAGTGCAACCGGGCATCCAGGCAAACGAAGACCATACTAAACGCGTCTATAGTCTTCTACGAAGTAATTATCCAGGGAGTCTCGTACTACTCCCTCGATCGATCTCACACGACGTGTACATAATTACGGTGTAATGACGCGCAAGAGAAAGTGACCATGGTGATTCGGTCGCGTGCCAAGAAAGCCATCAACAGAAGAGAAAAAGAGACATCGGCATGCAGCGAGAAAAAAACAAACAAACCCAATGATCGCGACCATGGTGACCTCGGGAGGAGATCAAGATACATGTACAACTTTTCTAATCATTATCTTGCTGAAGGGTTCATGCTCATTTGGACTGTTTTTCGGCTTGAGTGAAGTCAGTTCAGTGTTGAGTGAAGTCAGTTCAGTGTTGAGTGAAGTCAGTTCAGTGTTGAGTGAAGTCAGTTCAGTGTTGAGAAATGAATGACAAGTGGCTTGTACTTTGTAATTCTATTTGCACGATGTCGAAGATGGCGTTTTCTTCTGCGCCCGACTTATTTTGTGCAGGCACAATGTTCTGCTGGGGAAGCAGGGAAGCATGACCTCGACGAAGGAGGAAAAGGATCATTGCCGTGTGAGCGAGATTCTGCATCAAGCGCTGCACAAACCGGTTTTCCTGCTGCAAGTAGCACACGAGGAGCCGCGCAGATCTCTCCTTCATCGGGAGAGTCACGAGATGAACGAGAGATCTCCGCTCTCGGCGAGGCATTGAGAAGTCTCAAGAAAAAAGAACACCAGGGCAGCTTGTCGGTCATCCAGAGTCTTCTCCCGAAGAAGTCACTTGACAGCGATCCACATACACACCCACATTCACATACACATAGCTTCTGAACTGCCAAGCACATGTACATGTAGCTCACCGAACATCTTTCCTCCTTTGCTTCTTTCCTTCCATACTCACACAAACAAACCTGCTCTTTTACGACGAACTCCTCTATACGACACATTGTCCTGCCAGGCTTCCCCTGTTGCTCGAGGTGCCCACTCCTCACTGAGTTCCATGCATGAGAGGATGCACGTTGCCACGGGTTACTACTGCATGAGAGGATGCACGTTGCCACGGGTTACTACTGACTAGTTTCACCTCTTGATTGATCGAATTTGTAAATTCATATCGAGTGCTACATCAGTTGCAAGCGCGTGAATAGCTGCAAAATCTCTGAAAATGTTGTCTCGATCTGACCAGCCGTTCAAGAGTTATGGCCGAAAATGTGCCCTTGCAAGGAAAGATTTTTTGTTGCACGCTGTCATTTTTTGCCAGCACTGTATTTGAATCTGGGCAGACCGTGTGCAACTTGTCGTATCATGGAAACACGCGAAAGTGAGCAGAATTTTGCTCCAAGTCCAAAAAATCACGTTTTTTAGCCATGTATTGCGGGGCTGCACGGCAGCGGTAATACTAGTAATTGCATGTACAATCATGTACATGCGGGGACTGGGGAGTACAGCAATATTACCGGTACCTATATTTGGGGAAACCACAAATTGTGATACGTACAGAACGCCAAAACCAATCGGGAGTACGGTCACGTGCTACAATTTGATACTACACTGTACTACACTGTACTACAGTCAGACATCGCCGCTTATCCGGTCCTCTTTCATCCGGATCCCTCGCCATCCGGAAGAAAATAGCTGATCGCAGATGTACAGCATACGTGATGCATCCCACAAAACCGGTGTTTGATTATCCGGTTCCCTCGCATCTCCGGACATTTTGTGGAAAACAGATGTGTGCGGTTAAGCGAGGTCTGACTGTACTACGAATCGTACTAGTCCCCGATGTGAGTGCATGGAGGCAGCGCACCACGCCCCTGACCCTCAGAAAAATGATCAGGGTTGCATACTCTTGGTTGCGAGATCAAGAAGGCCAATAATAGAGACTCACCGAGATCAAAGAGGCGAACTCTCTTCGTGGTAGATAGCAGCATGAAGACGTGTGCGAGAAGAGCGTAGATGACCAGATCCCAATACTCTGCTATAACGTTACGGACAGTCTTCGGAATCAGCACAAAATGGAGCACTCAGCCAACACACACGACCCATAAAGAGTTAAAGATCCTTTGCTTTTCAATTAATTTGTTTCAAGTCCGTATGAGCAACTAGCCCTTTCCCAAAGGTGCTCTTTTAATTCACACTTACAAGTAGTGCTTTTCGCGTCCCTCAAAATATGCTGAAAAAGTGCTCTTTTTCAGTGAAGCATAGCCATTATGCATGTTCAGATATGAACTCAAGCTGAGAAATGAATACGCACTCTTCCATTTATGGGTCCACGAAAGGCAAAACAGGAAGTAAAGTTCAAAAAACCCACTTTTTACAGCATTGTGTAGCGTACAAGCTTCACCAACTGTTACTTGTTGCCCCCCAAAAAGCGGCGTGCCAAGGCCCATCTAGCACTCTGAAACTGTGATCGCATGCATGAGCAAACAGATTTTAGCACTTTTTCAGCTAAAAAAGCGAAAAAAGGGCGAAAAAGGGCGAGCACCTTTGGAGTTTGGGAAAGGGCTATGAGTATGAGCAACTATTACTTATAGCCTCCGTCGTACCATACGACGTTGTGCTACTATCATGCATACCTGTAATGATCCAGACATAGACCAGGTTCCCAATCGCGCCTCATTTAGGAGGCAAATGGGGACTTTCGAAAAAGAGCGAATAGGACTAAAGCCAAAGGGAGGAAAGGACGAACATAGAACGTCCAGTCCAGGGCAGAGCCTCAACGTGCAACACCGACAGCACCATTTAAAATCTTCTGTCATAGCATTGACTTGATTGGTACACCCTTGATGAGCAATCATTGATTTACATGCTTGTAAATAAAAAAAAACTGAACAAACCAGAGAAAACTCAGATGGAGAGCCAAGGATTAAAATAATAAAAGAGGACCAAAAGTTTACAAGTTATCCGTTTTGTCAAACACTAACGGTTATAAGCAGAATACTGTTGAGTCAAAAATGTGCAACAATTAGCACAAAACTGACTGATGAGATCATGACATTCAACGACCTGATGCTTAGTTGCATCACGTCTAGAATGCGCAAACCAGCAGCCTCCAACTTGGAAGGTTCTAAGTTATGAAGTAACGTAAGAAAGGGGAAGGTGAGCGCACCCTAGACGAAAACAACTTCGTGATCGCGTAACTCCCGGCCTCTTTTGCTTATCTCTGATAACATGAACCTCCCAAGTTGGGTGGTCGTTGTTTCGCGTTTCCGAAGTGAGCTGTGGCCGTCCTGTGCCGTGGTCCTTCGTCCTTCATCACCATCTTGTCATAGCTAACATTCTTAGTTCGCTGTGATGTTTAGCTTGTTTTCGTCTAGGGTGCGCTCACCTTCCCCTTTCTTACGTTACTTCATAACTTAGAACCTTCCAAGTTGGAAGGCTGCTGGTTTGCGCATTCTAGACGTGATGCCAGCTAAGCATCAGGTCGTTGAATGTCATGATCTCATCAGTCAGTTTTGTGCTAATTGTTGCACATTTTTGACTCAACAATATTCTGCTTATAACCGTTAGTGTTGGACAAAACGGATAACTTGTAAACTTTTGGTCCTCTTTTTTTAACTTAAACAAGAGAAAGAAAGAAGTAAGGACAAAGTGATAACACATAACATCAGTACATTTCACCTAGAACATTAACGGCCAAGCTTGGCCGCACCAAACACAACACATTACTTGAACAATTTCAACCCAATTATACTATCTTTCCGTACACACAAATTAGGCTTGTACAGACGCTGATAGATGGCTTCCAAAACTTTTAACTGTAGTCCATAACCATGACGACCACGGCACAATACAGTGAAAGAAGAGTCGGAATACGATTTGCAACAATCAGGACTAGCTAGCAGATGATTGTACACTGAAGACTTGCTACCACGAAACCTACGCACAACACTAACATTCTCACCGGCACTCTCATGATCACTCCCATCATCGCTCTCCGACTCACTGCTTCCTTCGCCGTCCGTTCCATCACCCGCTTCCTCTGCGCTCTCTCTGCTTCGTCCATCCCGCCTGACCCGGTCCATTGAACTTGCCTCGGCCGTCAGCCTGCTGTCACGTCCCTCCTTTCGCCCTTGTCCGTTGAGTGCGTAGCTTCTGTTGTAGTTGGCTGTTGATCGTCTTGGTCTTTCAATAGTGGGCTTGGATGGCGGATTAGTTGTGGTTGCTATAGATTTCGTTGTTGGTGTTGGTATGGGAGCCACTGATACGCAAGGTGGGTCTTTTTGAGACGGCATTTGTAGTGTTAATGCCACTGTCGGTGTTGCTCGCGGTCTGTCACTGGCAAGCTCCACCGCCGCAAGAACCGACAAGGGCGAAAGGAGGGATGTGACAGCAGGGTGACGGCCGAGTCAAGTTCAATGGACCGGGTCAGGCGGGATGGACGAAGCAGAGTGAGCGCAGAGGAAGCGGGGGATGGAACGGACGGCGAAGGGAGCAGTGAGTCGGAGAGCGATGATGGGAGTGATCGTGAGAGTGCCGGTGAGAATGTTAGTGATGTGCGTAGATTTTGTGGTAGCAAGTCTTCACTGTACAATCATCTGCTAGCTAGTCCGGATTGTTGCAATTCGTATTCCGACTCTTCTTTTACCGTATTGTTCCGTGGTCGTCATGGTTATGGACTACAGTTAAAAGTTTTGGAAGCTATCTATCAGCGTCTGTACAAGCCTAATTTGTGTGTACAGAAAGATAGTATTGGTTGAAATTGTTCAAGTAACGTGTTGTGTTTGGCGCGGCCAAGCTTGGCCGTTAATGTTCTAGGTGCAATGTATTACATGCTTGTTCCTTTCTTTCTTTCTTTCTTACTTTCTTATCCAACATTTCATACTCACTTTGCGCACTTCCTCTCTTCTCCTTTGGGTAATCCGGAAACGAGAGAGCTTGGAAGCTCAGGGCCCTACGCTATTCTTTTTTGCCTAGCTCATCATGCATATTATTAGAACTGATGGAAATGTTTTTTTCAATTGATTGGCTATCCTGAGTGTTTTACAATGCCCAACCATACCACAACGAACTGATCGGCTACATCATTGTATTGCAAAAAGTTTCCTCCAATTGTTCGAATAACATGCATGATGAGCTTACTGCTAGGCAAAAAAAGCATAGTTCGTATGATGCTAACCATAATGCTCCAAAAACTGCCTTATAAATAATGCTTCAGCAAGGGATATAATGCTCTTGGTTTGGGACAAAAATGGAAAAAAGTCTGCACATTGTCAAACTTCCAGGAAATTATGCATATCGTCGATCTGCCTCTGAAGCTGCCACATTATCTCTTACGAGCTCCACCACTTCTTAGCACTATGTATATAATTAAAAGTCCAAGTTTTTATTACAGCTTCTTTATTAGCCGTAAATCCAAGGTCGAGACCTTTATTATATTAAAATCATCTGATAAAGGCCGACACACAAAAGCTGCCTATGTGGTGTTGCTATGACTACCCGTTACCGCGGCGCAACGTTATTATTATGAGTCTTTATTCCACTCCAAATTGAAAATAAAAATATAAATTGGAGGTATTACACTAACTCACCGGACTTATCATAGCCAAAGGTAAGCAGCACGGAATAATATATGGAAAAAAGTAAGGTAGAGAGAGAGGAAGGGAGAAAGGCGCATGTACCATCACAGTCATTAAAGCTCAGAGGTATCATGACAACAGGTATTGCAGAAAGGGGAGCATCAGAAGTTGGCGAAAAATTCAGGCCGGCAAAGCTCATCACTGGGCACAACCTCCAATGCGTACCCACAGAAAGATCAAATACGAATACCCACAGAAATACCACAGTGTTTCAATTACAAACTAAAACGAATACAATAACATACAGAGCATAAAAAGCCCACCGGGGACAGCGAAGAGCCCTATGCTGCACCCAAAACAGATCTTAGAATGGCCATCGAGCCAAGGATAGCAGCCTGCTGCAGTTCATGAAGGTGCCGCTCTTCTCCACATAGCTGCTTAATTGAGGTAGCCGCTTCCTTCGTCAGGCCACTAAGAGCACCAACTATGATGGGCACTACGGACACTGCCTCTCGCTGCCAAATCTGCCCAATTTCCACTGCGAGGGGCAAGTACTTCGCTCTCTTTTCAGCATGTTTTAGTGTTACTCTATGATCCAGTGGCACACTGACATCAATAAGTTGGACTGACTTGCCATCGTCCCACACAAGATCCGGCCGATTTGCTCCAACCATCCTATCTGTAGGGATTGGCATTTCCCACATTAACTTACGGCCTTCACTATCCTCGACGTAGTGTGGCAAGTGGCCAGGGGGAGCAGGAGATACCAGTCTGTAGCGATGACAGAGTGCCCGGTGGACTATAGCGGCAAGACGATTACGGCGAGTAATGTATGCCGTCCGTGCCAACACGGGGCAGCATGCCAAAATATGGTCAACAGTCTCCCCCGGACCTCCGCACAAACGGCACACGTCCACCACGGAAGTGTCGCCAATAACCGATCTCTGGTAGTTCCTGGTATTAACCACCTGATCCTGAGCAGCAAATACGGATGACTCAGTGGATGGACGCAATGTTGGAGACTTTAAGAAGTTGAATGAGAGAGGCATGTCCAATACACCGCCACTCCTCTGCCAATAGCGACCATGCAGGGGCTTCTGCCGCAGAGAAGCTTGGGTGGTGGTTCTGATAGCAGACTTAACAACGCCAGTTGTTGCACCTCCGATGTCCAGGATGTTGAAGTGCTCCATTGCCGTGGCCGCCCGGGAGATGATCGACTTTGTAGGCGGAAGATTTTCATGATGAGCATGCAGCGCAGCAATCAGCGGCAGGTCAGAGTGCGCCTGGAGATACCTAGACAGGCGTATGTATTTCCTCTCCAGCAGGTGCTCAACCGATACAATCCCTCGGCCGCCCTCAGATCTCGGCAGGTGAAAGCGGATGGTGGAAGATCGTGGGTGGTGTGCTCCCACTGCGCGGAGCGCACTTCGGACATTCCTGTCGAAGGTTGCAATAGCATCCTTCATCCATGGCACAATACACAAGCCATACGACAGCACTGGGATGACATAAGAGTTAATAGCACGAGAGAGGTTGCAGGCGTTGAGAGATGTGTGG